ACTCTTGTCTCAAAAAAACAAAATAACTGCATTTGCTTTCTTAGATCAGTTTGCTTATATAAAACTAAAAATAAAACAACATCACTTTGAGACTATAAAAGATTTTTTTGGTGAAATTGAAATACAAATAAGCATATAAAATTGGATTAATTGAATATATTTGCAAGTCAGTAACATATATACAATGATTTTGGCAAAAGCCTAGTCAATTTAACTAAACATACACAACAGTATGCCTACTATGTGCGATGTGCTATATTAGGTTGTTTACAACTGTGACTAATGGTTGTACAACCAATTTAGACCAGCATGTAAAGAAATGAAAAAAACAGAAAAGAAAGAAAACATCAGAGTTCATCCAATGTAATAAGAATATGTATCATGTTATGAAAGATTTGTTTTTAGTTATATCTACACTCATAGGCATAAACTGAATCACAGTGTAAATACACATCTTGGTGTGGATCATGGTTAAAAGTTAGAAAACAGCACTGCAATGAGGACCTCTGGGTCGTATGCGATTAATGAGTGTTCTAGGGTCATACGCAGTTGTGTAAGATATAACTGCCATCCTCAAGAGGCTTCTACGATTGAAGAGGATAACTACGCTGCTATGTACAAACAACCCCCCTGGACATTCAGAGAAAGGAGGCAGCATACATGTTTGAGAGGTCAGGAAAAGTGTCTGAGATGAGTCTTGGAAGATGGGTGACGTTTTGCCCAGTAAAGGAAGAGGGAGCAGCTCTAGACGGTGACAGGCGAGCTGTTTTCAGAGGACACTGAGTCATAGGCTATAGTCCAGGAAACACATAAGTAAGGACTGAAGTAGGGCAGTAAGGACTGAAGTAGTTGCAACCACACTAGGAAAGCCAGAACAGTAGTAAATTTCCTGAGGGCAGACGACTGGAAGGGGAGCTACAGGAAGCTTTTCAGGAAGTTTAAGTTAGCAAATGCTTATGGAATGGAATAGTGGGCAACTTTAGTCAGCCCCACAAAGACTGAACTAAAGATACATTCCATGAGAAAGAAAGAAAAAAATAAAAACCCTGAGGATACCTGGAGGGGAAGAAGGAATAGGAGGTAATCATAGGATTAAAAACATACACTGTGGTGACTGGAATAATTATGACTGGACTAGTTCAATGGTTCTCAACAGACTGAGAGTGGGGGTTGAGACTTGGAGTGCAAACAGACATCCCATGATGAGGAATAAGGTAATTTTTGCACTTATTGTTTTCATAATACAGATTTTAGAAAGTACAATTATGTGAAATGCCCTTGGGGATGGGTGTTTGCACCCCATTTTAAGCATTGAGAAACTCTAATCTCCAAGGTCCCTTGTGGTTCTAACTGCTGTTGGATGATTTTATTTTGTGGATGAGTGAAGTAAAGCTGAAAGAGGCAGCATGGCTCATCAGTGGCAGAGCTGGAACGAGACCCCAAGTCTTATAAATTCCAGGATGTGTGTCCATTGCAGCTTGCACCTGTGATGGTTTCCATTTCACAAACGGAACAATTTAGGGAAGGAGAGATATAGCTGGAAAAGCTCACTACTTGGATCCAGATATTCACTCTTTGTTGTGCTACCTTCTGTCAGAGACTCCTGTTGTGACAGGCACTGCAGGAAATAGGAATGTTAGAACAGATAGGCCTTCCACCACAGTCCTTCACTAGGGAAAATGTTACACCACACTCCAAATCATGTACAACTACAGGAATTTAAAGCCATGTATAGCAGCTACATTCTAAAATTTCTCATCAACCCCAACTCACACATGCACTTTTATTAATGTCTTGATCTTTTCCATTAATTAATTTCTTTCTTTCTGCCTTTCCTAAGTGCACATTTCTCGTAAACTTTGAGGATAGTTTATGAAAATGAAAGAGCATTTTTCCCCAGTAACATTTTCATAGTTATAATTTTTGAAAACAATTTCTTGAGAGATGTTTTGTGAGTTGTATTCAGAAACATATTATCTTCACGGTTTTCTCCCAGTAGGATGGATAAATGATCATGCCTTAAGAGTTACATGGAATCTTCTGGTTACAACAGAAAAGATAAATGTTCCAATGAACTTTCCTTCCAGGGACAGCATACCAGGGAGTGACTACAGGAGAAAAACTGATTCTCAAAGGACACACTGAGGAATGAGTGTGAGTTGTCACCAGTGACTTGAGATTCATTCTCCTGAGCATTTGGGAAAGAAGGGAATTGAGAGAAAAAGGGAGAGAGAGCTTCACAGGTACAGAGTGGGACCTTGTCCTTGTCAGGGTAACGCTGAAAGCTGGGCCAGGGTGGCGTGGCCCTCTAACTAGGAGTGCTGCTGATTCCTCCATTGCACAAGTTGTGCTCTTCGCCTACAAAGCGTCTTCTGGTCAGTTACACCATGGCCCCATGTGACAGCCAGTGATAAGTGACCATCATGCAGCGTGACCCATGCCTTA